AAGTCGTCCCTATACCCAATTTAACTGGTGCTTAATCTAGTCCCTATTTCACTCCCTAGTGAGGCTGCGTAACTGGCAAGCGACTCCCTGGTGCTCGGAAGGGAAGGGGGGAACAGGCTATAGGGACAGCCTTTGGGCATTCTAGAGGGACTACTGCAAAGCACTGCAATGATACATTTTTTGAGATTCAAGGATATCATCTAGACACAAAGCCCAGAATTTGCCCTAAACCCCAAACCCCAAAGCCCAAACCAAACGCAGGCCGTTGCAAAAAGAACAAATGCAGGCTTATGGAATTTCGGAGAATCTCCGGCCGCGGCTGGCCTCCTGCTTGGGGCAACTGGGGTGCATGAACCTTCCGTCCGAAGGCTGTACCACTCAGAGCACGAGGGTTATAGTCCCCCTTAAGTAGATAGAATATGGGTTTGGGTATATTAGAATACTAAGATCCCCATATACCTCATATTCTATCAACTTAATGGGGAGTATAGGGTTCAGGGCAACCGAAGCGTTGGCGGCGTGAGGGTATGCGTCCAAGTCACTTTTTGCTCAGTGGCTTCACAGAGGTCTGAAGCAGATCGTGCTTTAGTTGAAGCTTTGCATTTGCATTAGTCACGAGCCCACTCGGACCTTCAAGACGCTCTACCTACGCTTGGTAGCATGGCTTGCAAAATATGGAATGGGATTGCATTGAGGCTTTCAAGGTGCTGGGGAGCTGGCAGACTTTGGAAGTTGGAGGAAAAGCGTACAACATGTGAAAAGCTTGACAGTCCCAGCTCCTTTAAATGATTTCTGTCTACGCCTTTTCCGCGAAATCGTCGTTTTCTATTTGAGCTGCAATCTATGACATGCAGGAAAGACAACAACGTGCAAAGAACATGTGAACAAACTTCGATGCGATTTTCCAGGAATCTGAGGACTCCAAACCCTGTCCAGCCGAAATGTTTGAAATCCTGGGTAAATACACTTGTAAACATAGATAGGATACTTGGCTTGTGCGTAGAGGAGTTTAAAGCGCGCAGCAAACTGTCAATCATATGAACTGCGTGGCAAGTTTTACAAACAAAGTTCGTTGTGGCTCCTCATTTACTTCTCAAGCTAGTACCCTCAACCCTAAACCTTAAAAACCTAACCATATCCATATTAGGGGACTTAGCAGGCCTGTAATTGGGTAAGGAAACTGTTGGAGGCTATTGAGGGATTACATTGGGAATCGCATGGGGATTGAAATTGGTGATTGTATTATAGATAGGGCTTTATGGGAAACCCTAAGCCCTAAACCCAGGACCCTAAACCCTAAACCCTAGAGGATGTATCCAACAGCATGGGCCATCCCAGGTACTTGCGAGACCGGATTGGTGGCTTTCCTTCAATTTCTTGCTGCTTGCAATGCTCCATTCCTAAATGTAGGGATTTAGGGTTTAGGGTTTAGGGTGTACAGTTCCGTATAGAATTTCTATATGCAGTTATATAATCTTTACGTAAGCCTCGTATAATCACCATATAACCCCTATAGAGCGGTCAATAACCTCCAATACAATCCCAATATAATACCCCGTATGAGTCCTGTATAACTCTTAGTAGTCCCTTATAGAACCCTACATAAGGCCGTAAAAAAACCCCATAGAACCCTACATAAACGTTCCTGAACCCTAAACCCTAAACCCCGAAACCCCAACCCCTAAACCGCTAGAACCCTGAACCCTAAGCCCCTAAACCCCTAAACTCTAGAACCCCTAAGCCCCTAAAGCCCTAAACCCTGAGAACCCCACATAATCCCCTAGTTCATCCCGACCGCTCATCGTGAATCAAGGTGAGTAGTATTTCATTTGGGGGTACTATGGTACCCAAGATAGAGTAATATTCTGTCCTCCCTCTGGGGTATAGTGTTTTTATATAAGGAATATCATCTTACTAGGTTCAACCACCAAAAAAAACACTACTCAGGTGTTCCTCGCGATTTGCCACTTCCTGCCGCTAAGATGCTGAAGCTCGGTCTGTGTAAGCCAAGGTTTAGGGTTTAGGGTTTAGGGTTGAGGGTAGTTTAGGTTTTTGGGGTTTAGGGGTTTAGGGTTAAGGCTAGTTTAGGTTTTTGGGGTCTAGAGGTTTAGGGTAGTTTAGGGTTTTGGGGTTTAGGGGTTTAGAGTTTAGGCTAGTTTAGGTTTTTGGGGCTTAGGGTTTAGGGTAGTTTAGGTTTTTTGGGTTTAGGGGTTTAGGGTAGTTTAGGTCTTTGGGGGTTTAGGGTTTAGGGCTTAGCGTTTAGGGTTTAGCTTTTAAGGGTCTAGCGGTAGGTTTCAGGGTTCAGCGCTTCGAGTTTAGGGTTTAGGGTTTTATGGTTTTAGGGTTTAGGCAGGTGCAACAGGGAGGAAATACATGAAAGGGGGTTATTTAGGGATTACATCGGGTTATATTGCGGGAATAGTAAAGAAATCCAAAGCTAATATTTGGTGTTTAGGGTTAAGGGCTTGGGTTACATAGGGATATATCGGGATGTATAAGGCACGTGAGGAATATTTAGGGATTATGTAGCGACATTGGGGGTATATAGGGATACTACGCCAATAAAGGAGAATTAAATCGAAAAGAGCATGGAAAACGGGAAGGGAACTGAAATTACGGATTTCTAGACTCTACGGTTTCCGAGAATGACAAGTAATCTCTCTAACATCTCCATCATAACGATTTAAACCCTAAACCCCTAAACTCATGGGAGTTGCGCTATTTAAAGTGAGGAAGTGCCTTCTGTAGTAGTCCCTATATGGGGGTTTCCCAAAACTAGGGGTACCCTTTTGGGGGTCCCCATTATAAGGACTATAGTATTTTGGGGTCTATATTGGGGTCCCCGTATTTTGGGAAACTACCATATAGCCCATTGTAGTAGTTTGCATTTTCTTTTCCATTCCTTCATTCCCAGCTGACCAAAGGCTAGCCTAATGGCCTTAAACCCTAAGCCTTAAACTTACACAACCCATAGGGATAATGGAAAAGAAAATGGAAACTATAGGGATTATGGAGGTTATATAGGGGTTATCTAAGGATT